ATTCTTCTCCTCCTCCTCCTCATCCTCCTCCTCCTCCTCCTCCTCCTCCTCCTCCTCCTCCTCCTCACATATCCCACCACCAACAAACCACAATGCCCATCCACAAAACCCATTCCCAACGAAGCGCTGCGACTTTCTCACTCGCCTTATCGGCTTCCATCGGCGTTCAGAAGCACATTAGCCGGTAAAGTCAGGGGCCCCCCGAGGAAACCGTCCGTCCTTCCATCTAAACGCAAGACTATGGTCAAGGGTGACGTCGCACGAGCGTCTTCATTAACCACGGCACTTACCCCCCATTACGCCACTCCCATTGGGCACAGCTGCGACCGTGCGAACGGTATATTTAAAAAGGTGCCGACGGAGAGGAGCAAAGAGGAACCTCCCTCCCCGAGCGAGCGACGATGGCCTAAGGCTCTCGGTCACTGACACTCTTGCATCAACCAGTGCGCGCCTTCGCTCCTCATCTGCCTCGACGCGGTCTCTCGGACGACATCCACGCGAACTTTCGGCCTCGAGCATCGAGTATCTACCTCTCTTGTGCTTTGGCATTGCACTTTCGTGACGCGACCGATTGCATGACTCGTGGATCCGGAGGCTCGAGATCGTCGCGCTGATCGACACGGAGATTTTACCTTTCGACTTTCCGTCCTTTTAACGAGGTCTTTGTCGGGGGCATCGAGGGATCAACGGCGGGGGGTTGTTTCCCAAGCGTTACGGCCTTAGTCAGGGCAAGATGAGTTGCAAGGGACTGATATACGAGTCGCCCAACTATTTGTGTCAGTGTGTCATAATGTAAAGTGCGAGGAGTCGAGGAAAGACCAACGTCACTTTGGAGAATGACGACACTTATCGAGAAATCTTTTAAAACTCGAATGCGCTGAACAATTATACTGTTTGTGCATACTTCACTCAAAACAATGTTTCTCTTAGTTTTCCAACATTATGCCAGTTTACGTTTACTCTCTTAATTTTCTTAACTGGCTCAATTATTAATCTAGCAAATGCCTGATTGAATTTGTGCAAGAAATTTTTTATGAATATTTGCAATAAGATGACGATTGATTAATAAGAATTAATAACAATGAATAATTGTTATGAATTTGACGCTATTATTTTAATGGAGTTGCGATCATATTTGATTAATATTTACGAAATACAATGGGAGATTTTTTTTTTTTTTTTTTTTTTTAATTCACCGTACCATTGGACTTGCAATAAAAATTCTTCGCACTATTGGAAATCAAAAGTATCAAAAGTATAGTAAGCACTACTAAATAACACGCGAAACTATAACCTTTAAAAATAAATACTATATTATTGATTATATATTGTATATTATATATATATATATATATATATATATATATATATATATACGCACACATTTAAGAATAAGCCAATTTAATGAAACGTGGTATTTAAACACTGTTAAGAAAACCATACATGTCTTCATTTTAGCAAATAATTCTTTAATTCAAGATAATATTTATGCGCTCCTCTTTAAATATTATATTCTAAAATGGGTTGCACAATTTTGAGGTTAACGATTGCTTAATCCGGTATTTGTATAATCTGGCATTTAAGCTCGAAGTCTCGTAGGGGTCACTTTACTTTGATCTATAATCTACAAACGTATAAGAAGCCTTCCTGGAACTTTCTATTTGAATAGAAACCTAAACTGCAGGTTTTTTAATAGCCCTAGATTATTTTTAACTATTGAGGTGACTTGTTCACATTCGATCAACGCCCCGGCATTTTCCCTATCATCTCACATAAATTTACTTCCTTCTCATAATTACTTATTTTGTATACATTTCTGTGTAATACAACATTTTTCTCTATTTATTGATTTGTGTGTATATTTTTTTATTTATTATTAGTCTTTTTTCTCTCTAATAAATTTAACTTTAAACAGCTTGTGTTTCGGCGATTTATGCACGGATTTATGCGCTTACGCAACAATGACATTATTAATTGTAATATGTTTTAATTGTACAGATCTCAAGATGGAATTGAATGTAATTATAGTTCTTTTTATGTTTCAGATTGCCAGACACGAGGGCTTAAATTGTCAATAAGTCAAATGGTAAGATAAAAACTTTATGGTTAAAATATTGAAATATGTACTAATAAACGGAGGAGAGAACGTACTGTCAGAATATATTGTCTGTAGCGAAATTTTCGTTTGGAAAAATGCCACTTAGTGCAAATCATTCTCGATGAGATAAGGCCGCACAGTTGGAAAAGTTAGGCACGTCCGTAGTTGTTGGTGGAACGGTATTATGGACGGAGGAGCAAAGCTTCGGCGATATGAAATTGACAGCTCTCGGACGAACAGGGAAAAAGATAAGATGGGAGTAAAGGAGATCGAAGGAAGGAGACACGAGGCGTGGGGGTTATTGGAGTGTGAGGGGCGGTTGAGCTGGCGGGAGGGGGCGGGAGGGAGTGACGAAGAAGCAGGCACAAAGAGCAGAAAGCAAGAAAATTCCGGGCAAAGTGTGAAATCGAGCGGAAACGCGTTTGACCGAGGCACACGCGCGTACTGCTACATGACGCACGTGATTCCGCCTCTTTTTTCCATTCTATCTCTCTGCATTTTATTTTTAATTTTTCTGACATTGCCTCTCTTCTGACATTACTCCTTGTATTTATCGTCATTGCAACAATAAATTTATTGTAAAATAACTGCTAAATTTATTCACAAATTTCGTGCTTCGTGAGCTCCATGAAATACTTATTGCTTTTATCCGATAAGCAATTCTTTATCACTGAAACCTACTGCTGATTGTTTTTTACGTCGTATACAACTCCAACTTTACTCATTTGTTGTTTGAATTGCCAGAACTTCGTAATAATAATAATGATAATAATAACAATAATGATGATAATTCTCCCAATTAAAATATTGAATTTGCAACTTTGGATTTGAATTTTTGTTTTCGACGATTTAGCAGAGTAAATTTAAATCGAGTTTTTATGCGATGAAATGTCGAGGTTGCAACGAAAGTCGAATCACACGCATCCTTATTCATTGATAAATGAAATCCTAAATATACTATTTTAAATATTGTGGACGAAGGCTTATGTACGAACTTCTATTCTCTTTCGTCTCGTTTGCACTCCTATCGAAGATCATTCCACTCTTCACTCTCGGCAAGGAGCGATTTTCCAGTCTATCGCGAAGCTTTCTCGCTCGAATGCGATGAGGTAATTTTTCAGGCTCCGGCAAGTTTCTTTCCCCACCTCATCTATAATTATTTCCTCGCTTTTCTCCTGCCCCCTACCTCCTCCTACTCCTCCTTTCCACGCTGCGCTCCGCCCAATATCCTCTCCTCCTCCCCCTTATCATTCTTTTTTGCCGTGCATTCTATTTTCCCAGCTCGAGCGCTGCCCCTGTCTTTGTTCCACGGGTTGTCGAGGAGAGTCGGGCACGGCAGATCGGAGCGGAGATCAGCTGCCGAGGCAGAATACAAGTGCAGAAAATCGCGGTATAGACGCAACGTAGCCGTGCAGCGTAAGCCGGAGAACGTTCTTGAAAGTTTTTCGCAACCTTCGTCAGCCGCTGCTCTGTACTCCTCGTAAATTGCTCGTGGCCGGTACGAAATACTTTCTCTCTCCCTCCCCCCCTCCCTCGCTCTCTCTCTCTCTCTCTCTCTCTCTCTCTATCTCTATCTCTATCTCTATCTCTATCTCTCTCTCTATCTCTATCTCTCTATCTATCTCCCCCCCCTCTCTCTCTCTTCCTCCCCCTCTCTCCCTCCCTCTTTATACCGCTCCCTCCGACTATCTACCTCCCTTTTTCATCTCTGCAAATAGGAACTAAAAATAAACGAAGTAAGCGTTGTACCGTTGCCATGTCTAGCATAATGTATGTGCGGGATGAGTTCAGAAACTATGAGGCGAATAATAAAAAACGTAATTTGGTGTCCGTTTGCAAACATTGGCCGTGCCACATCGTAGGATCAAAGCAGCTCACCGAGTTCATCTATCTTTTGATGTACTTAAATCATTTCATCGTGGTTATTGTATTTCGTGGCTTATCCCTACTAATGGCGGCGTTTCAACTAACCATGGCATTTTATAACATGGAAACTTCATTCCAATGTTAAATAATTGTCTTCATTGTTTTGGATATAATGTTATGTTCTCGCAGCAGTAGAATGAAAGATTTGTTTATACGTGCGTTGGATGTATTTCTTTATAATTCAGAGCTATTATATACCTCATTATTTTTAGAATGTTATTATATAACGTGAATATTAATGTGGAAAAATTTTAAGAAGAATTTTGTTCTTCTTTAAAGAAGAGAAATTTACACGAGTATACTGAAATAACTTTAATCCCCATAAATTTCGTGAATTTTCCTCCAGCCGTAAAGTTAACATTACTAGCATACTCCAAATATATTGCGAACATAAGATTTTCATTATAAAAACTGTCTCGTAATATTAAAATCGTATCCCATTAATGCATTATTATTGGATGTACTTCCAATCTATAATGAATAAGTCGTACAGAATTTGTTTTCTTTAAATCGATTGTTTATGTACTTACAGAATTGCCATTCGCTGGTCACGCTTGCGTTATTTGATCTCCCGATTCATTCCAAAATCGCTGTCTCAACCTCTGATCTTTTGAACGTCAAGATTTATGGTCATATTTATTAAATCTATGATCATTCAATGAGTTAATCTTTAATAACATAACTCCGTTGTGTAATGTGTCGGCATTAAACGGCAGTGAACACGTGCACCAGTTACCAAGAGCTTCGATAAAAATTTTTTTTTTTTTTCACATTACATTCGTACGTACGTGTATTTTTTAATGTATGTGTGTATGACTGAAGCTATAAATAATGGAGTAATTTTCATTTCAACATTAGCTTGCATTTTTCCTCAAATATTATATTTTATACTATAAATAATGAACAGCAGATTTTATTGCTTTTTCAAGTCAACAAGTAAAAATGTTTCAGTCATTTTATACATTTTTCCGATGACACTACGGTAAATTTCATCTAATTGTAGGTACGTTTCCTGAAATTGTTTCTTTGAAGGAAAGAGCGTACGGAAAAACAACTACCTAGTAACGATTATCTATACGTCTTGGAAAAATTGGAAACCATGAAATGTGTATAGTGTTTTTTTTTTTTTTTTTTTTTTTTTTTTTTTTTTTTTGTTCATGAATGTCATAATGTTAATCTTTAAATATAAGAAATAAATTTTAAATAACTTCTTAAAAATTGGTATCTGTATAATTTTTTGCCAACATTTATAATCCATGTAAAAGGCTATATATATAAGGCTTATAGAAAGAAATACTAAGAAACTTTCTGTCTATGACGTTATTTAAAAAGTATATAATTTTAATCTTCGTTATAAAAATAAAGTAAACATCGTACAAAACATTAAGAAATGGAATATGATAAATGAAATTGTATCTATGTAATATGAAAAAGATATTTCGATATGTACATGCGCGTCTATGTGCGCGCGCGCGTAGGTGTGTGCGTGTATGTATGCGCGTGTACGTATGCACGTGTGTGCGTGTATGTATGCGCGTGTACGTATGAACGTGTGTGCGGGTGTGTGTGTATGCGTTAGGCATACACCCACGTTTACAAAATACCAAGTGCATTTTTCAAAATTTAGCGAGCTCGAGATGGGCAACCAGAGCCTGTATTATAATATTTTTACATTTCAAAATGTTCTTTTTGTAACGTTTAAATCAGAATTTGATGACAGAAAATTTAATTAAACAATAATAGTTATAATACATGGATATAATTAGTCCTTTTAAAATATTCGTACACTCGTGTATTTTTCTCCTACGCTACGCATACACGGTACACGCAGACGTAATAGTGGACCAACTCTTGCAACGGAGAGAAAGTTTTTGATATAATAAATAAATCTTGTTAATTGTAATAACAGCGGCAGTGGGGAAAAAAGCGATTAATGCTTGAAACGCTGGATCATTCGCTCGTGCATGCCAAACTGGTGCACTCGCTTCGCTTTTTCGTACACATCCGCGGGCCGTTGCGAGCCCTTACTGAATTATGCGAGGGTACTATTAGTAATTTCAGGGAAGCATGTGACACCCCTGAGAACTCATCACTCTCTTCCGGCTACAGCGACGTCGCAAACACAAAACGCACCCACAAGCTTAGTAATAATTTTTTTCATCTACAATGATGAACGATTACATATTGTGTGCGCGTGCGCGGTAATTTACGGCTATTAAGTTAATACCATCGACGTATCGACGTCGTTACTCATCCTTTTGCTCCTTTGCGTAGTTGGTGGATTGCTGTTACAGTCTATCGGTGTATCGTGCTGCTCTTTTGATAATATCGTAGTTTTTTTTACACATTACCACGATACCTTGTGCTTTTCTAACATTAAATGAGCCGTACTGTTTGAGAGATTCGTATGAAAATAATCTCTCTTTGAAAAGATTTTACGCCGACGTTTCAACGTTTCATTGTTTTTCATTTTTATTTTCACGAAGCTTGTTTTTACAAACGATGTATAATATTAATATTATTATTAATCGTACGATGATGTTATTACATCGCCAAGTGATTTATAAAATATTTATTACTTGTTAAATTCGACGGGATTAGTTTGATTTCAATGTTGTGGAAATAGTCCATTCAACCGAAAACTTATTATATTTTATTTCTTAATAGGCTCGCGCGCGCTTATTTAAGCCATCATGTTTGTTCGACGAAAAATTCTGAATAGAAAATCTGTTTGTAAATTAATAATCCTAACGACAGTAGTCATGACGTGAATTAACTGGCGTTATTTGATTCGTTGCAAAAGAAATTTGTCGATTTCAATCCTATATTCAGCAATAAAATAAGAACGAAACTTGTAGCTTATAAATCTTTTTCTCAGACATAGCCAGGCAAGTTATGTAAGATAATTATTTTCACCATTCGTAGGCATTCATAGCAACTTTTTTCTAGCTATTGGAAGAATTATTCATAGAGAATATTTCATAAAGTTAATAAGTTAGAAGCTTAGAAAGCTTCGATAGCATAATGAGCGAGGGGATAGGAAAAATCAACGAACGCATGAA